CTAAATCCAACTTATTGTATAATAAGCAATATGACAATGTAATTAATATAGTGATATCTTCATATGTTTATAAACAGATGAACAAATGAAAACACTAATGTCTGACAGACCAGGGGCAAAGCACCACCAATAGGAAGAGATCAAATTTCAGCGGAGGTGGAAGAGGGAAGAGCAGCGCACAATGTGTTTGTTTACTAGAAACTTCATGTGTTTTTTGGGGTGACGAGACAAGACATGGCAGAGTTAATCTCTCAGGAAAACTACAACTGCCAATATGGCAACATCTTGGATTTGAAGCTGACAAAAAAGGTGTCCTAACTGTCTGTGAGTGAAGCTGTCTTAACCAGCTTAACTTTTGTCAGACGCCCTGTATCTAATTTTTCCTGTTGCTCTCTTTAAAACAGTGCCGTAATGGATGAGGAATGGCTGATTTATAAAGGTAAACTGAGTAATTATCTATACGAAACCTCTTATTTTACAACAAAAACCTAAATAAGGTGGCAGGTGGCTGGAGAAGGATCGCCAAATGATCTTCGCTAATAACAAGCTAACATTAGGCAACTTGCTGTTTGATATATTGTATGTATTTTCCAGTAAATATTACAATATAAAATGTGCGTTTTCTGTTTAAAAGGTACAGATGTAGGAAGATAGCAAGTAGTCACCCATATATAATGTGGTTTTGTCTTATGTATGATCTCAAGGACACAGCTGATGGCTAAGTGGTTTATTAACAAGGCGTAAGGTAAATGCATATTTAATGCATTCATTGTGGACAGACAGCTGCCATGTTACGCAATACAACATATATAAGTCGGACTTGTTTGCTGTTAGGACATGGTGTCATCATGTTCCATGTGTGAGGGGCTGCTGAGTAAAGTGCAATGCCTAGTGGTAAAGTTTGTTAAATTGGTGCGGAACGGTGTTTGGCTTAATATCAAACCAATCTGAAAGTTTTTACACCAGACCAACCCTATAGAGTCAGGCGCCCAATTAGGAATCTGGGGGCTCCTGACAACTGCAGCACAACACTCAGTACAACAATACATATCTCTAGTATAATCCCTGGTCTGTCCCAGCAAGTAAACGGGCTGAAATACTCTAGTCCAATCTCAAGACACTTTTCTCTATTATGTCAGATGTACCTCAATGTCGGTGCTTCAACTTGGACATATGTTAATGTCTTGGGTGTTTTGACTGAGACTTGGCAAATAATGCAAGGTTTAGGCAAATTTTTGTTTTTTTCCTGTTGCTTCCACATTTTAACTTTTTCTGAATCTAAGTTATACCACAGCTGACTCTCACCACAAGAACAACAGTACAGTATGATGAATATTGAATAGGGATTGATCATTATTTTTTTTCTTGGCCTTGACTCAGACTCAACCCCAATTGGGAGTCTTCACTTGGACTTATCATTGAGTTGACTCAGGTGGAGCTGACAACAACTTTGTCTAACCAATCAAAATGAAATCTCTGCCAATCGCGAGCCTGCCAATGAGCAGCATTTGTCAGCTATAAAAGAGGTCTAACCTTCACTCTGTGTAAAAATCCAAAGCCACATACAGACCGTAAAGATCAAACTGCAGGTACGTACATTCGCCAAAAACAGACAAACTGCATCAACCTTAAGGAAAAGAAGACACAGGCTGAACAAGAGGAGTATGACTGACATACTGCATAGATCACATACTGAGATGAACTATGTAAAACCACCTTTGTAGCCATGACAACAGAAGCAATTTCGTTAATTTTAAAAACACTTTTAAAGTAAAAGTTTTTATATGTATTTTTGTCTATTGTGATCACATTCACACGACAGCCGTCTTACATTTTTTTAATCAGTTGCAGTGGTGCCAGTGCACTAGAGAACAAGCTATGGTGGATGCATCTGATACCACTCACCACCAAAAGCAAAATCCTGATTGCAATAAGTCATCATTTTGGTGAATGCAAGTCTCACAAACAGGGAACACTCTCGTTCTCATGTGTGTGTATATATATATATATATATATATATATACAGTACAGGCCAAAAGTTTGGACACACCTTTTCATTCAATGCGTTTTCTTTATTTTCATGACTATTTACATTGTAGATTCTCACTGAAGGCATCAAAACTATGAATGAACACATGTGGAGTTATGTACTTAACAAAAAAAGGTGAAATAACTGAAAACATGTTTTATATTCTAGTTTCTTCAAAATAGCCACCCTTTGCTCTGATTACTGCTTTGCACACTCTTGGCATTCTCTCCATGAGCTTCAAGAGGTAGTCACCTGAAATGGTTTCCACTTCACAGGTGTGCCTTATCAGGGTTAATTAGTGGAATTTCTTGCTTTATCAATGGGGTTGGGACCATCAGTTGTGTTGTGCAGAAGTCAGGTTAATACACAGCCGACAGCCCTATTGGACAACTGTTAAAATTCATATTATGGCAAGAACCAATCAGCTAACTAAAGAAAAACGAGTGGCCATCATTACTTTAAGAAATGAAGGTCAGTCAGTCCGGAAAATTGCAAAAACTTTAAATGTGTCCCCAAGTGGAGTCGCAAAAACCATCAAGCGCTACAACGAAACTGGCACACATGAGGACCGACCCAGGAAAGGAAGACCAAGAGTCACCTCTGCTTCTGAGGATAAGTTCATCCGAGTCACCAGCCTCAGAAATCGCAAGTTAACAGCAGCTCAGATCAGAGACCAGATGAATGCCACACAGAGTTCTAGCAGCAGACCCATCTCTAGAACAACTGTTAAGAGGAGACTGCGCCAATCAGGCCTTCATGGTCAAATAGCTGCTAGGAAACCACTGCTAAGGAGAGGCAACAAGCAGAAGAGATTTGTTTGGGCCAAGAAACACAAGGAATGGACATTAGACCAGTGGAAATCTGTGCTTTGGTCTGATGAGTCCAAATTTGAGATCTTTGGTTCCAACCGCCGTGTCTTTGTGAGACGCAGAAAAGGTGAACGGATGGATTCCACATGCCTGGTTCCCACTGTGAAGCATGGAGGAGGAGGTGTGATGGTGTGGGGGTGTTTTGCTGGTGACACTGTTGGGGATTTATTCAAAATTGAAGGCACACTGAACCAGCATGGCTACCACAGCATCCTGCAGCGACATGCCATCCCATCCGGTTTGCGTTTAGTTGGACGATCATTTATTTTTCAACAGGACAATGACCCCAAACACACCTCCAGGCTGTGTAAGGGCTATTTGACCAAGAAGGAGAGTGATGGAGTGCTGCGGCAGATGACCTGGCCTCCACAGTCACCGGACCTGAACCCAATCGAGATGGTTTGGGGTGAGCTGGACCGCAGAGTGAAGGCAAAGGGGCCAACAAGTGCTAAACACCTCTGGGAACTCCTTCAAGACTGTTGGAAAACCATTTCAGGTGACTACCTCTTGAAGCTCATGGAGAGAATGCCAAGAGTGTGCAAAGCAGTAATCAGAGCAAAGGGTGGCTATTTTGAAGAAACTAGAATATAAAACATGTTTTCAGTTATTTCACCTTTTTTTGTTAAGTACATAACTCCACATGTGTTCATTCATAGTTTTGATGCCTTCAGTGAGAATCTACAATGTAAATAGTCATGAAAATACAGAAAACGAGAAATGAGAAGGTGTGTCCAAACTTTTGGCCTGTACTGTGTATATGTGTGTGTGTGTGTGTGTGTGTGTGTGTGTGTGTGTGTGTGGAGTGTGTGGTCAAAAATATCAATTTATGGATACTTATTGATACTGAATACTAACACAAGTACCAGCTGTGCTTTCTCTCTCTCGCCTAACTTGTACAGTCATTCTGTTCTCTGCTACTAATCAAAGAAAGAGAAGTCATTGCTGTAATGTTGTTTTTATGTCAATTTTCCCCATGGTAGTGAAAATGGTATCAAATATCAATATTTTTCAAGGTATAATTCCAATATCATGACAACACTTATGTAAACATATATATATAACTTAATGTTCAAGTGTTCTGGATAGATTTTTGGCTTGATATTTTTAGCTTGACCTTTCCTCTCCATTATAATGATGGAAACTACACGCTCACACTCACTCAGACTGAGGTATAAGCAGTGAGCCACACCTTGCCACATTCAGTCTCACAATATCAGCTGCCTTTGATTTACACTGACATTTCAGTGCTGGGAAAATCCTTCTGGTTGTAGCTTTGGGTGAAGGCAGTATGAGGATTACAGTGGGAGTGGGTAGAGAGGTTAAGGGAGTAATGATTTATTCCTCGCCTGTGAGATGCAAGACATTCATCACCAGGAACAAAAAGCCTGTAGCACTGTGTGAGCTGAGGATGTTAGTCCTGCTGGGAGAGACAGACAGCAATACAACCTGTGCTGAGAAGATGCCCTGCTGTAACACTTCAGACAGAGCCTTTAACTGAGGGTTTCTGCCTGCATGGCCAGCTTATTAATGGATGGCTGGATCTAGTGAGAAATTGTACTTTTATAATATCCAAAATGTGATTGGATATTATGCAAATATCACATAAAACATGCATATGAGATGATATAAAATGCATTTTGGGTGAGAAATTGTCAATTTAAAGTTTTGTAGGAATATAATAAAGGCATTATAGCAACGCCATAACGGATTGAAAAATACATTACACTCAATTTATACTCATTAGAGAACCACAGGTAACATTGAAGTCCATGCAATAATGTAGGAATATTCCTGTAGTCCTTTTTAACTAAAGCAAATAAGGAAATGGTTGCAAATATTAAAGAGTTCAGTAACAGAGATGTTAATATTGCAAAAAAAATAAACTGAAAGCAGGTCCATTTACTCAGCCTCAGTTTGGTAAACTCAAACTGAACAGAATTCAGTCCAACACAACGCAGACACAAACACGCCCGCGAAAAACAAGCTACACGTTAACGCAACACTTCCGAGTCTCCTGTCGTGATTTCCGAGTGAATAATGGCACCTAATAATACAGTACAGATATAAATGTGAAGCCCGACGGGCCGTCAAACAGCGCCTACCTCCCGTTTAACGTTCCATAATAATTTCTCTTTGTAGTCTTCCTCCGTGGAGCCCTCCATGTCTGTCCGTCTGTCCGTCCGCGGTGAACACGACACAGGTCTGTCTCGCTGACACTGTCCGTCTTCTCTCCCCGGCCTTTCACAACCTCTTTCCTTTTTATTCCTTGTTTCCTTCTTCCTTCGCTCAGCTGGACTCTGACGCAGCCGACCAGCTTGACGGCGACGTCAGAGGATCCGCCTTCCCTGCCGTACTGATCAATGGAGGAGGAAGAAAAAAGGAAAAAAATAGTCACCGGAGCTCCCAGAGGCTCCCAGCATCCAGCCCCGCCCCAACCTGCAGCCTGCAGCCTCTCAGCATCCAACACACCAACCTGTGGAGCCTCAAGTTATTTATAGCATCTTCTTTTTCCTCCCCTGGGCAGGAAAGGGTTACAGCAGGGAGATGTTCTCCTGTGAAAGGTGTGAAATGCTGGCAAATGGTTTGGGGAGGTTTGGGTTTGCCACTGCTGGCTGGTTGTGTCTTGAGCAGATAGCTACTTGATGAATATATATGGGACTCTGGTGGGGGAAACATGCAATGCATTTAATGAGCTCATCAAAATGCAGCTTATTTAATGACTTCATTCATAAGCCTGGCACAATAGCACCAACACACACACACACACACACACACACATACACACACACATTAAGAGACTGCAGCCCATCCAAACGGTTTCTATAAATAGAGCTTTCTGAAGCACATGTTGACCATTCTGTGCTGATGCCAAGTTGGCCTGCTGCAAAATAGATGACGTCACGATAGATGATATAGAATGACCCTCTCTGTTGGAGTCCCCGTCATTAAACCTCCTGCTTGTGCCTCCATGTGGGCTGAGGGTGCACCTGCAACTATCAAAGGACATGTTATCTGCAAAGCTTCCCCTAATCACTTTGTTTTTTCTTTGAATTTGAATTCTTTGAACACTTGTGCTTCTTTGCCATCAGAGATTTCTTTCTGCAGTGTTTGTCTGAGCTCCTCTTGCTGGTTTGAAGGACTAATGGCTCAGTTAAAAGAAATGATGTGACATATTTGCATGCAGCAATCAGGACTTGGCAAAATGTAAATCAAAATGTGATGAAGGTTGTGGGAGGGGGTTCATTTGCTCATGTTGCCAAACCGCTGTCAGTCAAATGTGATGAGACCACACCCTCATTTCTGATGAATTACAAAAATTTAAATACAAAATATAAAGAAATAGTTAAATGTCCAGTGTGTAGGATTTAGAGGGATATATTGGCAGAAATGTAACATAATATAAGTGTTTTCTTTAGTGTATATTCACCTGAAAACAAGAATCGTGTTTTCATCACCTCACAATGAGCCATTTTTTCTACATCTCATGTACGGAGATTACCATGTTGCACCAACATGTTTTATGGTAACCCAGACCAGACAAACCAAACACTGGCTCTAGAAAGGGCCATTCCCGTTTCTGGAAAAACACTTTTTTTATGTTAAACTGCTTTATTCTGATCACTACCATGAAGCCAATGAAATCTAACTAGGATATCTTTTCATTATCTGGTTTGACTAACCCTAACATTGTCTACCTGGATAACCAGTACTACAAAGGTGGTTATCAACCAGTTCTGTCAACTCTGGGTTTTCCTGTCCAGCCATGAGCTGTGAAAGAGGCAAGGGATGTTGATTACGAGCAACATCATCAGAACCATGAATGAAGTAGGCTGCTTCATATAATATGAGATGAAACGGTATCCAAAGTGTCTTGGACTGCGAGACAGTAAAATGACAATGGCTTGGGACGTAAACAACACTGAAAATACTATCCAACAATTCACCATTGGTCAAGACTTAAATTATGTATAAGTGTCACAAGGCTATATGTCACTTTAGTATAAAGTAATTTTCGCTATTTAGGTGAATGATGACAAAACTACTCTGAATATGTCGGATTAAACGCCAGACTGTGTCTGCTTCTTAAGCAAAGAGTGGAAAAGTAGCCTATAGTTAATGACTGATGAGGTCTGTCTGACGGAAGTGCTACATTTATAATAATATATGATAGTTATTTTTTTTCCTAGTTCGCATTATATAGGTATCTAATTATTCTGAGCTGCAGTGATGAATCAGATTGTAGAATAGCTACACTGCCAGCAATCATTGCAGACTAAAATAAATTGTGAAAGCTAAAATCATGTGTTGTAAACAATCTCTGTGTGGAACCCAGTGGAAACAGAGCCCTGAAATAATGAAATGATTTGACTGACCTATAACAGCATATAGGCTCCTCAATCTGATCTGATTGGTCAGAAGTCATGGTGTTGGCAGGTTGTGATCCAGTACTCTGAGCATAACCTCTTTTGGAGCAGGTTAACTGTTTAGCATAAATTACCATAGTGATTTATCCCGGTAAAAAAAAAAACAGCTTCATGGTACTGAAAACCCCTCACTAACTCCAAATTCTGCGTAGGAGTACAGACCTCAAGTCCGTTGTGTTGGAGAAGAAGAGTTCTCTGTGGATTATTGCACTCCTGGTAAAAAACCTCCTGAAAAATGAACAATGAGAGAATTCTAATCTGGAGTAGTTTCAGCTGGTTGCAGTCTCCAGTCCTCACCACTAGATGCTATTAAATCCCCCCATATCGTACACACTGGACCTCTAAGATTTAGTGATTTAATTGCTTTCTTTGAGGCCTTTTAGTTTAGATCAAAGAAACTGTAGGACAATTATCTTACAGGTTTCATTCTTTTAAAAAGGAATTATTTTCAGATGAATGAATAGAAATATTTGCAGCCTTAATTGACACCTCAATTCAGTATCTGACCAAATGTCTCCCCTTTTGTTCCTGAGTTATGGCACTGAATAATGGCTGGAAAAGTGTTTTTGCAGAACATTATGATGTCACAGTGAAGTTGACCTTTGACATTTTGAATATAAAATGTCAGAACTTCATTGTTTTATCTTTTTAGACATTTGTGTGAAAGCTGTCATAGTTAGCATATGAATACTTGAGTTATGGTCAGAAAAATATTTTGTGAGGTCACACTGACCTTTGACAACAAAATTCTTATCAGTTTATTTCAGTGCAAGTGGATGCTTGTGTCAAATTTAAAGAAATTCCCTCAAGGTGCTCTTGAGTATCACGTTCACAACAATGAGACAGATGCAAGGCCCTAAACCAAGAGAATGTTTCATGTGGGATTTCCCTGTTGGAAAAAAAAACTAAATCGTGACAGATTAAATGTCCAAGCCACAGAAAACATGGTGAGTATAAGCCAACCTTTTTCCTTTAACCATGGAACCTACAGGAGCAGCTGCGGTTTTCAGGTTAATGAGCTGTGTGTAGCATGATGTCAGGTTGCAGTTGCTCAGAGCATGATGAGAATAGGCTGGTTATTTACGGTCATCCTTATAAAACACAGCATTTTGTTTGGCTGCTCTGCAAACGCAAACACACACACACACACACACACACACCCACACACACACACACACACACACACACACACACACACACACACACACACAAATTGATCTGACAAAGTAGCTGATCAACAAGTATTTGCTGCCTCCATAATTCTGGAACCAGCAAATTTCACTGCACTTGCAGTTACCACCTGTAACCACAGGTGTCAGCGATGTGTGATGACTACAGGGTATCGTGCGTTCTTTAACTTCACTGGTTCTTAGAAGCAAGCTGCTAATAACTAGAACTATGTAACTGTAAGTAAGAATTCAAACTGTAGATTTTCTAATTAGACCTGCCTATTAAAAAGATTACAAAGACAAACAGCAGTGGAATAACAAGAACTTTTATCTTCACAGCTGGAAAAAAGGCATCATGGTAAACTGCATTGAAATATGTCAGAGGCACTAGTTCTGGAAAAACTAAACAGATTCAAACAACAGGCTGTCATAAATGTGTATATGAAAAATACAATCTATAAATATGAAACATGCGCTCCTGCTGATGTAAGTGCTATGATTGTGACAGTATTTCTTCTAAGAAATAGTGCATATCAGTGATTTTTCTTCCACTACTAATCTACATTTATAAAAAATAATAATAATAATAATAATAATAATCTAGAGTTCTCTAGATATTTGAAGTAGTTGCTCTGAATCTTCTGATAATATTTCATAAATTATGATGGACTGAGCAGACTACACCACAACTATCTAGAGTAAAAAGTCAGATGCAATAACATCAAGGCCACAGTTTGGACTTCTTTAAGATAGTGGTAAAGAAAGTAAGATAATAAACTATTCAAAAGAGAAATGCAAGGGCATCAACAGATTTCATGTTCAAAAGTTCATCATCAATGTGAAAAGCTGAAATCTGTCCAGCCGTTTGTGGTTTCAGTCTCAGTGTCCCAGTGGTCGGTCGTCATACGTGCTGTACCTCTTGACGTGGATTCGACGGACACGCTCGCGGAGCTCGGCTCCACCGGGCCCGTCTTCTTCCTCACTGTGAGAGCCACAGTTGGTGTAGCTCCGACGTGTGGCCTCCAGCAGGGAGTTGTCTGGCAGCGGCATTGTCTCATAGAGCAAGGTGTTCAGAGTCTCCTCATAGATTCGAGCTTCAGGAAACTCCACCTGAGGAAGGAAGAGACAGATGCCAACTATTTCTACAGCGTCAATTCACATCACACCCAGAGCCTCCAAATTTATTGGCCTTCCCAACCCCAACCTCTCAGACCAACAACAGCCAAGCCATAACACTTAATTACTCGGCATAGCACAGCCTCAGGCAACCTCCCAACCTCTTCTACACACCGCTTCCATCTGGTCATAAATAGAGACCCCTGGCCGGGAGATGGGTACGCTATATCAAGTTTTGTCCTCTCTGCCACAGCATCACTCAACAAGACACACCAGTAACTGGCAAGTGTGTGGGTGCTATGTGTGAATTAATATGGATGTATCTAATGTTTTTCATGTATTTATTGTGTGTTTTCTAATGTATTCATGTATTGTATTTATATGAGGCCCTATAAAGACTGTGCCAACAAATGTCTCTGGAGAAGTATTATAAAGAATCAATCCATCTATCTTTCTTATCCATCTATCTAAGTAAAAGGTAGACATTTGGTGTTCCACGCTTCACGCATACCTGCAGGCCGAGCAAAAGAACAAAAAAAATTCTGTGCAATTGCTAGAGGGCATTTATACCCAATAAAGTCAAATCCACATCATCTGTCAGTATTCATTTAGTACATTTGACTACACATGGCCAAGGATGCAGCAC